TCGGTGGTCTGACATTAAATATCAGCAGTAAGGGGAACTGATTAGTCGAGAAGCTCTGAGGACTCAGGAGACGGGCAGTGCTGCATTAAGACCCAGGGGATAAAATAATTTTTATTCTCTAAATCTTATGGAATTCTTTCGCTTCAAACTTTAGGACATCTGGTACCATATGAGGACATTGCTCTTGATACTTATCATGGAAAATTTATATGAGGAGTTATTGAAATCTTGAGATTCCTTTGATAGCATCTTAGGTGATGAATTTGAAAACAGAACCTACTTCATGAGACTATGTGACCAGACTCCTTCAGGAACTGTCTGAGTGATGGACGTGGGAAATCATTCATTAATCCTTTGCAGGGAGGGGGCAGCCTGGCATTGTGGGATGTGATGCTCTCCAGGCACTTACTCTTTCTCATGCTTCATAGCGTTTTAACCTTGCATCTCTCTAAATATCTATTCTTTTTTCTCTCTAACAAACATGCTCCTTTGCAAGGCTCCTGGATTGTCACACTGTAAACACTGATTGAAACTCACCAGGTCCTTAGATATCTATGACTTAACGTCCGGCACAAAATTTTCTGTGTCTTTTATTAAAAATTCTTTAGTAAGCTCAAGTAAGTAAGTAAGCTATTTAGTAAGCTGTTTCCAATTCCAGCATCTTTGCAGGCTTCACAGTCACCCAGTACACCACAGGTCTGCGGCTCTGGGTTCCCAGCAAGGTGGAGTGAGCTAACCCGCGGATGAGGCATAGATTCCATTGGTGCAAATGAAGCCAAGAGAAAAAGAGTTTTTATTGTCAAGATGATACCTTTAAATAGAAAAATATAACCCTCTTGGATACCCATATAAATGTATTTTTTAACACTGTGGGACTACTGGCTATAAAGAAAAAAGTAATAATAACTTTATTTTTTCTACACATGGTTATAATAATTTGTTGTCCCAGAAGAAATATTTTATGTGATTCATAATGGGAAAATAATGCTTTCCAAAGTGGTAAGGGCTGAAAGTTTCTATTTACTGAGAATCTATCGCTTGCCTGGTAAGAGACATGCATTTACTCTCCTCAAAGCAAGGAGGACTTCTCTTCCTGCTGGTGAAGAAATTGAAACTTGTGGAAATCAAGGGCTTTGCATGAAGTCATACATACAGAAGGTTTGTTATTTTGAAAACTGAATTATGAAAGTAAGTCAGCCTGTAATGGAAGCCTTTCCCAATCAAAGTGACAACTCTAAGCACATGAATCATTTTATAAATAAAAGCCATCATTAAGGTTGAACCTTTTTACACACGTTATAATGAACTACTTGGACATTCAGAAAGAGAAAATAATTTTGGGGAAAAAATTGTTGTAACTCTCACCAAATCTGAGAAATCCACACGGTAACATGCTGAGAGCCCACGCTAGTCTAGTGATATTAATTTCCTAGAATAAGAAGTGATTTTGAGAGTAAGTTTTAATGCTCTCATTTCTCAGTCTGCAGCTTCCTATACACACTCTCTGACAAATATTAGACAAACTATGTCAGGCCCAGAACTGTGCAGGATTTGATTCTGTTAAGCAGGCATGAAAGTTGAGAGCCTCGTAAATATTAATCAAGACTAATGAACAGTGGGAGACTTCTGAATATCAATCTGTACTGGGGGAAATTTTGAATTAGAGACACCACTTCCTAACCAATAAATCAGCGGTGAAAAATTGAAGGCATTCTCATGCATCTGCTTATGTAGCTGGATCTCTAGTCCTAAAGGAGTAGAGAGTGCAGATGCCAAATAGATGTAATTTTATCGCTCCACGTGGAGCTTCTGCATTTTTAACTGGACCATTTTCTAAAAAAAATTTTAATTATTTTAAAAAGAAGCTAGATTGTATCACAGAAAACCTGAGTATGTTACATAGTATCAAAGTTAGAATAGTCCATGAGTAAAGAGAGCTTGTTTTATTCTTCTTCATTAGCATTCAGAAATAGAGCCCAAAGGGATTAGAGAACTCAAGGTTAAAAGGCGAGCTGAATGCTAAAACCTGATTGGCATATAGCTTTTACTCCATGAGCTTGTTACTGCTTTTTCCCTAAACTTATGTACAATTTGGAACAAGAAAATAAAAGATCTTCTAACGTAATTTGCTAATAATACAAATTCTTCTACGTAATCCCATATTCTTAATGGTTGTCCGTTAATGAAAGAAAAACATTTTTTGTGTTTATAGTAGATGGACTTAATATTAATTAAGACAAATCTGAGCGTGGATAATGACATTTGTGATTTTATGATATTTCTGATGTTGAGACACTAAATATGAAATTTGGTAGACAGAGAGTTTTTAAAATATTTTTTAGGTGTCAGAAAATATTTCAAGCTTAAAATATGTTTCTGTAGTGGGCATTAAGATTTTTTAAATTAAAAAATTTTAAATTCCTATGGGTACATAGTAGTTCTAGGTATTTACACGGGACATGTGTTATTTTCATACAGTCATACAAAGTGTAATAAATCAGGGTAATTGGGGTGTACGTTACCTCAAGCATTTATTATTTCTTTGTGTTAACAACATTCTGACTCCACCTTTTTAGTTATTTTAAAGTCAGACATAACTTACTGCTGCCTATAGTCACTTTGTTGTGCTATCATAATATTGTTCATTTTATCTAACTATGCTTTTACCCTGCTAATCCTCCTCACTCTATGCCCTGCTCCCTGCTATCTCTTGTAGCCTCTGGTTAACATCATTCTACTCTTTACCTCCAGGAAAGCAAGTCTTCTAATATTTGGCTTTGACATATGAGTGAGACCATGCGAGCTTTGATTTTCTCTGATTGCCTTATTTCACTTAGCATAATATTCTGTAGGTTCAACCAGGTTGTTGGAGATGACGGGATTCCATTATTTTTATGGCTGAATAATATTCCATTGTGTATACTATATTTACCACATTATGAATGTTTTAACAAAAATATTTAGAAGTAATTCTTAACAATATGAATGTTTTCTCACACCATCAAAATTAGGCCTCACATTTTATCCTGTAGAGACAAAGCATGAGCTGTGCTTATTGAACGGAAACGATGCATGTTTTAAGGACCCAGAAAAGATGAAGAGCCAGAAAATAAGCCAGAAATGGTGGACATTATTCAGAGGGACATGGATATACTGTTTCCAGTGTATTACTTCCTGCCATTTCAAATATATTGAATGAGTAATACCAGAAACACTACTAAATTAGGTACTGGTACAGCAAAATGTACACTTAAGCATTAACTGCTACTGATTTCTTAGTTCTTTTATGACTCAAAATTTCTAGACTCATTGAAGGCAGATAGTTGTGTTGATCTCCACTATATTCTCACTGAATTTAGTACTTGTTTAACAGATACTTAAAGTTTTTTAAAGAAGCTATACATTGAGATTTTTCTATCTGATAGAAGAATTTGTACTGTCTTCAAGGATAACAAATAATCATACTTCAATTGCTCAATTATAGCTAAAATTATATGGTTTTCCAACTGTAAGTAATGTTATAAAAATGAAAGCAGTTAACAATTTTGTGCGTATTTTGGTAAATATCTGTGCCGAGGCATTTCTTGCATTTCACAATTACAACATAAGATTGATTTGGGGGGAACATGGGTCTTAGTTATTCTACAACATGAAGTATGGAAGTTATTTGTGAATTTGCACACAAACTTTATGGACAGCCTGTATTTGAAATTTATGGCAACATTACCTTGAATGAATATTTTGTGTTAATAGTACATGTGGAAGTGGTCTTTTTTATATAAACAAAACTATGTGTGATGATTAGCATTCAGAATGTTCATTACACAGGTGACAATAGCATAGGTGGCTTTTTATTTGTTTTCATTTACTTTATCTTAATACTCACAATTAGGTTATTTTTTTTTCATTTAAGAGCATAGTAAATGGATCAATATTTCTCTGATCCTTTTTTTAATGAACTTTTAGAAATATTAGGGGTGATTTAATCAATATTATTAATGTAATCAAAATAGAAAATCTTACATGATTCTGTTGGGCAGTATCCAATTTGGATATAATTTTGTTTAATAGATCCTATCTCATTATCTCTAATTTATTTTTTTCTGGGAAACTGCTTGTGTTATATATCAAAGGTTCAAGCTACATTTATATTTACAAAGATACTTATGATGAATGCTTTGAAAACTTCTGAACTAGTCATGGAGGCCAATAAAACCAAATAAATTTTTTTTAAATGAACTTTAATGGAAACGTACAATCAAATTGAAAGTTCATCTTTGTTCAGTACATGATATTGTGATATATGTATTTCATTAAAAACAATAATTACATATGCACAGCAAGACTCAAAAGCGCAAACTCTATTTAAAATGTATAATGTTAAAATCATAAAAGTAATCAAGGTTATCCTAATGTGTAAGAAATGGAAGTCTAATAGTTCTATACTAAAACATAAAATAAAATAAAACTTTCTAACTATTCAGCTGGTCCACTGATATAGATTAAAATGAGAAAGATGCTGATGATTATCAAAAAAGCAGTGTCAGGTTTAATACATAAATTTTAAATAATATGAGAAATAAAAGTGCATGAAATGAATATATATATTCAAGCTTTTTATTCTTAGTAGATTTAATAACAGTTAACCAAGTTTGTTTCACATCAGAGGTTTAGAAACGTGCAAAATGTTTACTTTTTCCCCTCTCTGTGGAAAGAAAAATGTGTCGCTCCAGTTATCTAGATCTATCTAACTTTTAATTATTTTTCCTTCCTCGGCATGAGTTATTATTACTTAGATGTAATGAAAGAGTGGTCTAGGGAAAGGAGGAGAGTGGCACAATCTATAGAACAATTCAAACGTGATCCCGACATACCATCAGTTACTGAGTAGCCTGGGCAGTTCACACCGGGCCTGGTGATGGACCTGTGGGCCACAACGCATTTTCTTGTAGTTAAACCTCTAATAGTTTCTTCTCTAACTTTGGTTTTCATCTTTTTAGGTTTGGATTTATTCTTCACAAAGATGAAGCTGCACTACAAAAAATTGATCTTGAAACCATGTCGTACATCAAGACAATCAACCTGGTGGACTATAAGTGCGTTCCTCGCTCGCTGGCCTACACACACCTGGGAGGGTACTACTTCGTCGGCTGCAAGCCGGACAGCACCGGGGCCGTCCCGCCACAGCTCGTGGTGGACAGTGTAACGGACTCGGTCATTGGGTTCAATAGCGATGTGACTGGCACTCCATACGTCTCTCCAGACGGCCACTATCTTGTCAGCATCAACGACGTGAAAGGCCTTGTGCGGGTTCAGTACATCACCATCCGAGGAGAGATACAGGACGCTTTTGACATTCACACAAACCTGCACATATCGGACCTGGCGTTTCAGCCGTCCTTCACCGAAGCGCACCAGTACAACATCTACGGCAGCTCAAGCACACAAACTGACGTGCTCTTTGTGGAGCTCTCCTCTGGGAAGGTCAAGATGATAAAGAGCCTCAAGGAGCCACTCAAGGCAGAAGAATGGCCTTGGAACCAGAAGAACAGGCAAATCCAGGACAGTGGCTTATTTGGTCAATACCTGATGACGCCTTCCAAGGACTCTCTCTTTATCCTGGATGGACGGCTCAATAAGTTAAACTGTGAGATCACTGAAGTGGAGAAAGGAAATACAGTCGTTTGGGTTGGAGATGCCTAGGAACCCGGTTACATAATTACTGAATGCAGAGTTTTACAGTACATTGCACTTGATCCATTCTTAAATTTACAGCTTAACTTTCAAAGTTTATATTGATATATCCTAGTCAAGCATAGTTTTCTTGGTGGCTCAAATACAATAGATTATTTTTGGCAAAGACATATGCAATTAATAATATTGGGTGATTAGAAATATTTAACACAACATTTAATGATCAGTTGTGTCAATCACCAGAATCAAATCTATGTTTTGAAATCAATACAATTGGATTTTAAATTCTTAACAAATAACTAAACTACAGGGAATTTCAGATGACTCAAGCATTTTTTCATTTGAAGGGTAATCTTCCTTCACCCCCCCTTGTCCTTTTTCTGTGTTTAAACCGGAAAAAAAAGGTGTCATGGAACCTTAATATTCTTAATTCGAAATATTCTGTCCTGTCCACTGTTTGTAATCTTTTGTGCCTTGAAAGGAATGTCACAGGAGGAAAAGGAAAGCTAAAAGCTGCATGCTGAACACCCCCATAACTATAAATCTCTTGTCATTAAAAAAATGTTTAACATCTCTTGCACCAAATCCTGCCCTCGGTCATTTACTTAACCTGCCATGAAATAATGAAATATCACTTGAAAGCCTAAGTTGGTCTTAGGTCGTACACAGGTGACAAGCTCTGTTTGACATATTCTGCATCACCCACAGCATGCTATAGAAAAATATAGAGGAGGGGAGGAAAATAATTATAGTAAAAATGTTCACAATGCACTGTCTATTGTTTTCAATCACAAGAGTGCATTATATTTTTAATGCAACTTTTTCTGGGATGTTCACCGCCTGCAACTGTTTACTTTATTATTAGCAGAATAGATTGTTTCTTTTTGAATAGCCGGGTGTTTCATCACCAGGAACTTTCAGTTCTTAAAAGAAAGAAAAGGGGGGAAAAAGCATTACTATGTCTGCTTAAGGTAAAACACACATAGGGAAATGAACACCCAGGGGAAAAAGAAAGTCAGCAAGACAACGGATGAAATATTAATGACTTAGAAAAATTAGTAATAGAAGTTGAAAAGAAAGGGAAAGCCCTGTAATGGTGAGGATAGCTGTACTTCTCCATTGGTTTTGCTGTTTAAATAGAACCCATCGAAAAACTTCATTCCTAAGAGTTTTTCTAAATGACCTCTCCTATTCAAGTCCTACATAATCCTAAAATCACCTTCTCACTCACTGCGTGCTGTAGTTTGAAACCTAACTAATCCTCTTATTGGAGGCACTGCAGAGAAATAAAACTTATTGCTTAAAAAAAAAAAAAAAGGGAAACAGAGAAGGTCAGTAGAAATAGATTAAAACTAGAGAGTTGGTTTATTGAAATAAGCAGATAATTATCCAGGCTTCAAGTAATGGCTTACACATTCTGAGAATCTTTTTACTTATTTTTGGTTTTATCGTTGCTAGAAATGCTAATGGGCTGTTGAAATGACCTCCATTTACTGAAGGTAATCCAATAAGGTCTTTTTTAAATACAAATTTTACTCAAGTTTGAATTGTGTAAAACTGCTTAGAAACCTGAAATTTTATAGTGTGTAATATCTTACGTGTATATAGCATCCTGAGCTGTGTGATACAGTAGATTTCTTCCTACTTAGCTTAAGGAAACATTCTGTGAGGTTTAATAAACAACAGAAACTCAGCTTATGTTTCTACTTACTGAATCAGCTTTACTTTTTGGCAATTTTCTCCCTTGTGAACATGAACCATATAGAAAGTCTGTGACTCAATGATTTCATGTAAGTCTGTCGCACACCCCCTACTTTGGTAGTTTATACCATGTGGATGCTCTGTCTGTAGACGCTGCCTGATAAAAGGAGAATAAACCTCTTACATTTTAACCCTTGAGACTTCAGTCAATGATTTTATGTGCATATCATTCTTTTTGTTTCTCTCAGTGGTTCAAACGTAGTTTAGTGCCCGCATTATGTTGTAAGTAATTGGATGAATAAATGGAGGTAGAGGGGGAGTAAAGTGAGATTCAGCAAAGAAATTTATTTTCATCTGAATTGCCATATCCCTTCATTATTGCCAGCAAGGCATATATCCTTTCCATGACATCTATTTCTTGAGACTCCCTTATGGTAAATTAAAGGAAAGAATATCAGAATGGAATGTCAAGCATATGTTCAAAAGAATGAACTTTTCTTCTCACATCCTTACACTGTTAACCACAGAAATAGTGAGCTACTTAAATAAAAAGAAAAAACATTTTAATTCTTAGAATGCTGAAATCTGGGCTGGGCACCCATAGCATGGCTGGGGCGTCAGCCACATGCTCTGGGGCTGGTGGGTTGGAACCTGGCTCGGGCCTGCTAAACAAACAAACAAAAAGTAGCTGGGCATTGGCACCTGTAGTCCCCACTACTAGGGAGACTGAGGCAAGAAAATCGCTTGAGCCTAGGAGTTTGACGTGTAACACCATGGCACTCTACTGAGGGTGACAAAATAAGACTGTGCCTCAAAAAAAAAAAAAAAATAGAATGCTGACATTTGTGAACTTAGAAAAAGAAAATGCATATTTATGTTACAGTGATTTCTAAAGTAGACATTTCTTTCTTCAAAGATAGGGTAAGAGACACAGGTGGCATACAAGGCATCAGTACAATGCTTTGTAGATCTCCATTACAGTGGGTTCCAAGGAATCCTTTCATCAATCAGTGTAAAGAGTGAAAGTGAAGAAAAAACAGGATAAAATGATGAGTCAACTCATTTAGAAAGATGTGTAGCATCAGTGCATAGATATTTTTATAGGAAGAAAACAAAGTGAAGAGACACCAATGAAGGATGTGAAAAGAGTGAATAAAAGTATAAAAGTAGGAGTGAAAATAAGATGTGGGGAGATTGTTGTGTGGAATCGGACCAAGCAAATGATTTTGGGAGACAAGTTGACACAGATAAGAAGGTAGGTTATGATCGGTTTTTGAGTAAAAGAGGAAAAGATAGAAAGAAATTTTAAAGTTCAGATAACAGAGACCAAATAATAATCTTTCAAAGGAGAAATCTCCGTGAAAATGAAATTAGAGAAAAAGGTATCAAGTCAAAAATTTCAAAATGTCAGTTAATGGTTTTTAATACATGACAATTAAATTGAAAGTATATGTTAAAAAATAAGATGTGTTCAAGAAAATCTACCAAAGTGCTCTACCTTTGAATAAAGGTGGAGCATATAAGAAACAAAAATTATATGAATCAAATATGACATCTTTGACATATAAGAAATCCATGATGGAGAACCAGACTCAGGTGAGAGGATGAGGACTTAGAAAAAAAGGCAAATTAAGTGGAAATACAGAACAATGGAAACACTACCAGAGAACGTCATCTTGTACAAAAATCCAGTGTATTTTCTCAGAGTCACTCTACCTTCTGTTTGATTACACCTATGTAAAATTAAAGTGCTCTTTTTCAAAAAATGAATTTTAAAACTTTATCACTTTTATAATTCCTACTCAAAATTCTTCAGTGTTTTCTTTTTCTTTTTTCTTTTTGGCTGGGGCTGGGTTTGAACCCACCACCTCCGACATATGGGGCCTGGTGCCCTACCCTTTTGAGCCACAGGTGCTGCCCCAGTGTTTTCTTTTGTAAATTAAATTAATTTGATTGAATTTTATGTTTTCTAGTTAAGATTTTATAGGATAAAACACTATGTTTAATCATATTTGACAATTTATATAAAATTTTAAAGTGAGATAAATTTTACGAGTAATATTTCTATTCATGGAAACCAGTAAAATAAGATGAAAATGTAGAACCCAAGGTTAAGACCTTAACAACTCCGTTAGTCTTAAGACCTGGCGTGAGGCGGGAGAGTTGACCTGAGTGGAAATGGTGGGAAATGAAGAAATGAAGCCAAGAAAGACAGAACAGAGAGACAAAGAAAGACAGAAGGTGACAGATAGGATGGTGTCAGGAAGACTGGCGTAGCTGGTGGCTGCAGCCTGTGCCTGAATCTTGGAAAAAGCTTTATTTATACAGATCATAACAAGGTTGTGTGAATCTTAGTACACGGGGTAGAGATGATCCTTAAAGAAGGAAAACTGTGTGTTTGCCAACAATATGAAAAGTCTGCATGGGCTACATGACTTCCGGCAGGTGGAAAGAACACTGTGAAAGGAGAGTGGTTGGGTGTTGCCCTCTGAGAGTTTCCCAGGCTATGGTGGCCCTGCCACCCACAACCCAGTCCCCACAGTTTAGCCTGTTCCTTTAGGGGAAAGGATGACAAAAGAGAAAGAAAGAAAGAAAGAAAGAAA